TGCGGCGAGTGGGGGCTGCAATCGGCCGAACCTGCCGCGTCAGCAGGAAAATAAACTGACCCGGCCTGCTAGAGTGCTTACCCTGGCGAGCCGCGTGCCAAATATTGCCGACCCCTGCTGTAACAGCTATGAATAATGATTGTGGGTTCAAACTTCCCTAGGTCACTGGCTAAAGTGACCCCACTCAGTTTGCTCTCAAAGGAGGAAGAAATGTGACACAGTGGGAATTTGTAATAATATTTTAATGAATAATATGCCTGCCAATAGTAACTTGACTAGAGATTGCTATCCCCTGGGTGCCAAAGGGTTAAAAAGCTGCTCTTGGGCAGAGCTGGAGACCTGAGGGGCGAGAGTGTGTGTCACAGAACCATCTGGAGTGATATGAATGGGTCATTAGAGGACTGGCTGAAACTGACCCATATCAATGGAGGATCAGGAAAGACAATGGAGCCTCAAGGACTGAACCGTTTACACCTAACAATGCAGGTGGAGCACATGAACCCACTGTGACCCTGTAGAATGAAGTGGGCTGAAAGGCATCGGGTGGCTCCGTTAGGAGCTGGCTTTTGGAGAAACTCAGCAGCTCTCGCTTGGGACTGACAAAGAGCAATAGGGAGAGAGTCAAAATGGATTGTCTAGCACCTTGGCTGGGTGGAACGCTGGCTTGGCCAGGATGAACTATGTCTTGACCTTTGCTCAGGAGCGGTTCTGGGGAGGGGTGGGGGCAGGGGCTATAGCTACCCCAAAACTTGTCTTAGCACACCTCCCCCCCAAAGCCACCCTCTAGCAGCTGTTACTCTCCAGCTGTCCAGCTCTGAAGGCAGAGTGGAGAGAGCGGTGGCTGCTGCTCCAGTGCCCAGCTCCAGCAGCAGCAGAAAAGTAAGCCTGCCCGGGGTGCCCAAGAGCAGCCCCCAGCCCATGTTCCCGTCCATCAGGTTATGCCGTGAAAGGCAGGGGGAGGGTCTGGGACTCCTCACAGCAGCCTGGACTGACCTGCTCCAGCCTGGACTCCTGGGTGCTGTCCCTACAGTTGCTGCTCCCTGAGGACTCTGCTGGCCCTGGAGCTGGGTCCCCCTGCCTGGGCAGCTCTGATTGGCTGTGAGGACTTTTCGCTGCTGTGTTCCAATTGACTAACAAATTCTATTCTGTTTTGAAAAGGCTGCCTGGTATCACTGCAGATGCTCACTGAGGTGCATTGGTCCCTGAAGAGTGTGCAGAGCTCACAGTGTAAAACAGGAGTGCTGGAGCCCAGATGCTCAGTCTTGGTAGCTTTGAGGCCACCTGCCCTACCCTTAAGGAAGAGTATGACCCCTGGGTGTCTGCAGACTGCACACACTCCAACAGACTGTTTAAAAGTGGGAGCATAGCACAGATCCTGTGGATCTGTGACTGGTGAACACGTTTACTGACATTTACTGATAAAAATCTAATCCTTTCAAGTCCATTTATAGTGGTATACTCATTCCCCTTCTCTTATAGGAATACATTATACCAGTTATAAGCACTTTCATATTGGTATAACTACCTTCACACTAGGGGCAGTTATACCACTTTGACCAAGTCTAGGCCTTACATTGGTTTAGCTTGCCCCAGGGCACTATCACACCTCTAGCTAAAGCATCCCCCAGGACATGTATACCTTTAATAATAGAATGTAGGGTTTGAAAGATATGCACTCAGCCCCTTCCAAACCCTACATTCTATTATTGAAGGTATACATGTCCTGGGGGATGCTTTAGCTAGCTAGAAGCACACCACTTCTGTATATGGCTCTGGCGTGCAATGCTATGAAGGCAGATTCTATCGATCACAAACACTGCTTTAAAGGGTCATGTCATTATCAGGTCACTTTCAGCCCAATGTTCAATTTGGGGAGTTGTGGGGTGAAGGGTTGTGTATATGTCGTCTTGTGTTTTGTTTTCCAGATATACAAACATTTCTGTTGGTCTTTAGAGTTGTAAAAGTTGTAAAAACAAAGTTAAAATGGTCAAAGTTCTCCTCACAGCATCTCCAGCCAAACAATGCCGCAAACTATCTAGTGCACAAGACCCAAAGAAGAAACTGCCTCACTTATCTTGCTGAAGCTGAAAAAAGTGGAAAGCAGAGTGAAGAAAATTTAGATTTAAATATTCTTCCAGGTCTAATCAAAGTGTTGTTTGCAACACAGGTGAGGAAATAGTTTTGTAAAATAAAAATAATTTTGGCCTATATTCCTTTAAAGTGAATTTGGCTTTGAAAAAAGGTGACCGTCTGTTTGACCATAGTTGAAAGACACAGGAGAAACATGGCAGCATGACTGTGTTAGAGATTGAAGAATTCCGCTTCAGAACAGCTACAGCACAGGCACTGCTGGGCAAGCTTCACTAAATTTTCCTGCCAATGTGCCTCAACTTTGACCTGGATCTGACTGTTCTCTCTCTTTGCTCATACCATTCAATTCTTGCTCTTAATGCTGAAATTTGCCAAAAATGGGGAAGGGATGAAGGGTTATGGTAGTTTTTGTGCTGAGGGCAAAGTCTTAAACCACCAATGTATTTCACGTTATCCAATGCCCAATGTGAAATATATTGGTGGTTTTAGTCTAGCTCCATTTTTATTTGGGAAATGAATTGGTGGGTTTACTCCAGCTTCGAGTGTGTGTGTTCTCAGCTCAAAAGTTAAAATATAATTCCACCTCTTCCTCCTCATTGATAGTCTCAGGAGAAGCCCAAGAACTGAATGGGTTTGATGTCAATGAGAATTTATGGCAACATGTGAGATTGGATCTTCAATTCTATCTATCAGAGCTATTGGGTAGGGGGAATCCCTGGAGGCAGTATTGCTAGTATTGCTTTTAAAATGGAGAGGCAAAAATAGAATAAGGCTGGTGGGTCAGTTTTTCTCTTTGGAGGGTTCTGGAAATCGGTCGCCCGAATTCAGGTTCACATCTTCAATCTTTTTTATTCTGCTTTTTACAATATTTCTATTTTTTCCTATAAAATCTGATGCTTTTGTTGGAAAGACATCTTTTCACATTAGGAGAAACTAAAGACTTTAGGCATTAACAAGAAAAAAATTAAGAAAATAAGAAATAAATAAAGCGAGATTCATTCATTCTTTTCAGAGCCGCAGCTGGCAGCTAAAGTAACATTCCCAGAAGTGAACCAGAGGCTGGCCCTTTTCCAGTTACAGAGACTTTATTTAAAAGGACTGTACACAAGATTTTTAGGCCATATATTTAACATGCCTTAATTGCACATTAGAAAATGGCCTGATTCCAGCTGATTCTCCTTTCCTTAATAGCAGTCAGTGTTTAAATGATATCAAAATTACAATTTGGCACTGAATAAAAATGCCTTAAAAACTGCGATGCTACTCTATCAAAGTTACATTGTGTCTGATCCCCTTCTATAACAGCTCAGATGCATATTTTTATTACTCGCTTTTCTTTAAAGCAAAGATATCAGAAATTATTTTTAAAACAAAAATGTATTTGAAATCAGGAGGACAAAAATTAATACTAATCTTTTAAAACATGTTAAGTGTATGGCTTAAACAGCTTGATGACATCTTGTTCAATAGTTCTTCTACCGAAGAATCAAAATGTAATAGTCTTAAATAAAATTTTAACATGAGAAGATGAAATGATGAGTGGTTTTGCAAAGGCAACTTTCTCCTCTCTGAGTCACACAGTATCCCTAGACTATGATATTTTGTTCTTCATGAAGGCACAGATCTAGTGATGGCACTGGGAGATCTGCACCATAGGCCCTGATACAGCAAGGCACTGAAGCAAGCACTTAGCTTTTAAATATGTGAATAGGCTCATTGAAGCCAAAACTTACAGTTAAACACTTGTTGATGTGCTTTGCTGAATGGGAGTAACAGAACAAGAATATCATGCTCCAGGTTTGTTGTGCACATCTAAAAAACAAATGTTGACAGAAACTGAGTATGTGCTTAATGTCCTGGTACAACATAAAAGAAAGAAAGCACAAAAATAGAGGGGACTACATGACTTAGAATTCCAGCAGTGAAATACTTTCCAGTACATGGTCAGTGTGATATAAAACATGGATAAATATATATTTTTAAATATCATCAGGCTAAATCTTCCGGTTTGGGTGCAAGGTACTGAGTGGGGTTGGGCTGGGGAGACCTAAGGAGGTGCCAAGGCCCCTCAACTGTTGAGGTGGGTGGGAGTTGCAAGCACTCTGCACCTTGCAGTATATATATATGAATGAAAGGGACATTATTACTCATACTTTGGGGCTTGCACAACCAAGGGAGTAGTGCTTTGAATAAATTAGTTTGAAAGCTGTCATTAAGTGGCCTGGTTTATTTAAAAACAAATAAGTTGTTATGTTTCTACTGCCACCTGCGTGGGTTATTATGTAGGGAAAATATGGTTGTGTGTCTGGTTTTCCTTCAGATTAGTAAACCATGACTTGGCTTCCTCATATAGCATATGTAGGTCAATAAGGGAAGGTGTAACAAATAATACAGATTTAGTAGGACGAAATAATTGTCCTGCTTTGCTATTTTTGCCATTTAATGAAACCTTTGTGTTAGTTGATAAAGATCACATGAGTACTGGTACCAGTTAGAAGGCCAATGGTCACATCTTTGGAGTAATTATATCCCTACTGGCCTGATTCTGCTGCACAATAATTTCTTGTTTTCTAAATTCAATTGGGGCCAGTTAATCTATATTACTACAGTTTGAAGGCACTAGGCCAGATTCTCCTGGTAGTCTCTTGATCTATATTGGTGCAAGAGGGGAATCAAGCCCTTCAGTTTTGTTTAAGGTGAAGAATGGCAGGGGTCCAAGTCATTGTGATATACATCTGATTACCACATCTCCTTTCCACAGGCATAGATTTATGCCAAGTTGCCACACCAGAGTAATCAGTGAGCCCTGTACCAGTCCGCAAAAACACACACCCCTTGATATTTTCAGCCTACAAGTGACAGTATGTCATAATCAGCTACAAATTACATCTTAAAAGAAGAAACTTCTTCCACAATTCTGCTGGAGCAACTTTTTGGGTGATTTTATTCTTGATCAGGGATCAATTTGGATGGGTAGGTTGGGATTTTAAAGACTTATGGCACAAGCCATCTTGCTTTCAAGTCAATGGGAGCTGGAGTATACTTTTGGGTTGGTAAGTGGCTTTTTGTTGAATCGGAAAATGTTCTTCATTTGTACTGCTTCTCTCTTGTTTTAAGCAGACAGTAGAAATCATGTTAACACACCCTGCATTACATAGCCCAACTATATATGGAGCAGCTCAGGAATAATAAAGCGATGAATAAAGAAAATAAGTCTTACAATGACTTTTGACCATTTTTCTACCTTCAACATAAATCCCAAATACTTCTTTAAAAATTAGTAGACCAATCTGAATTATTCTTGTGAAAGATTGTCCTGTACCACATTTTATATCTACCAGCGTCAGAAAGTCCCAAAGCTGACTAGGTTAAAGAAGTTGACTTGGTTAAGAATCACATTTGCTGTATATTGACTACCAAGTCTATGGTAATTAACATGAACAATGAGTTTTCTACTACAGATGGAGTCCAAACCCCACATTGTTACTAAAGGGAAGACTGCAGTGGTGTTTAAACACCTGTTTTATGACTTGAAGCCCAACAAATTTTAAAGATGAGAGTTATTTTACATGAGTGTTTACAGATAAAGGACAGTAAGTTGGCTTTCGTTTAAAATGGCACTCTCCAAAGAATGGAAGTAATCACTCTTATTTTAAGTGTAGTTTTCTACACTGGTGGTGTTATTGTGTTACTTATAAAATGGTAATCAATCTGTTCCTTAGTGGGTGAAGTTCTAGGGCACTGGGAGTGGAGTGGTGTATGTGTGTCTTGAAAACCTCACAGACTACTATTTGTGCATGTGCATCACATTGTGAAATGGCTCGTTAAATTTTAGGGTGGAAAGCTATTCGAGTGCATGCAAATAGTTGGATGCCAAAAACTGCATGATTAACTTAGAGTCTGGCTTCAAGCCATTTTGATATTGTGGGCCTCTGCACATCTGAACTGCAGCTCCATGCCAGGTGTCTGAATGCCTACGCCCCAAAGCGGTGCACAAACTAGGGGAAAGTAGGCGTTCCTCTACCTACATTGCCTACAGGCCTGATCCCGTAAGTGTGCTCATAGCTCACTTACTGAAGCAGGCCCTTATAGGGAAGCTTGCACAAAATGGAAGGAGGAAAAGGCTGAGCTCCCTCATCATTTTTAGCCCAGTGGTTAGGGTACTCAGCTGGGATGTGGGAGACCCCCAGTTCAAGTCCCCCCTCCACCTGGTGGGGAGAAGGGCTTTGAAAAGGGATCTGCCACGTGAGTGCCCTAATGCTGGGCTGCGGGGCTCCCTCAGTCCTGGTGCAGATGCTCCACTGTGGCTTGAAGGAAGGATTGGGCCAGAGGGAGAGAGCACATGATGAGTATGAGAATGACTCTATCGCCTGGTAGTTAGCACAGTCACGTGGGAGACCCAGGATCCAATCTCCCTACTCTAATGACTTTTTAAAATTATTTATCCACAGTGGAATAGCTTCAACATGTGAGACTGAGGGAACGCCCTCCTCAGAATATCCTACAGCCCAGTGATTAGAGCACTCACCTAAGAGGTGGCAGAGCTCTGTTCAGATCATCCTCAGGTGGAAGGGGGACTTGAACTGCAGGTCTTCCACATCGCAGGTGAATATCCTAACCCCTGGGCTAAAAGTTATGAGGGAGGCCCTCCTCTACCTCCTTGCTAAAATACCATAGGTGCCTTATGCCAAGCGAGGGTTTGGAGCAGAGACTCCCAAGCAGAGGGAAGCACCTCCCTGCAGCCTGGATTTAGGTCTCTATCGCCAAGACAGGAGCAGGGCTTAGCGCATACCCTCAATTTCATACCTCCCATTGGCTGGCTTTTGTGAATCCAATTCTGAGGCACCTGTCTCTCTCCATTCATTGTATAAGGAGCCTAGGCACCGAACTCAGGCCTTGTGGAGCCCAATTATTTTCTAGGCACCTCACCATGCCTAAATTTCTTTGTGAATCTAGCCCTGTGACTCTGTACATCTTCATTAAACACATGCTATATGTTCTTTGTACTTAGAATGTAAATTGCTAATTACAAATAGGTAGATAGTTTTCCTTCCACTTTAAGCATAATGTGTAAGTTTAAAAATAAATATGAAAAAGATAAGCCTGCAGTACTAAAAAACTATTGAGCAAAGAACAAAGACAAATAAAAAATCCTCCCCCAACATTAGAGAAATTTGCACCTTAAGTGCCCAGTTACAGTACAAAAATAGTCATATACTACCATGCTTGTCTGCAGCGCTTTAGCACCTCTGGGCTCTAACAATTTTTTAAACTGCAAGTATTAGGGGAAGACAAAAGAGTTTTATAATCACATTAGGAAATATTTGTCCTGTCCACTGCAACAACAGCATACCCATATTACAACACAGATGCTCCAAATTGATCATGGTGCAAATGCCTCGCCAGAGGAAAGATAGACAGCACCTGTTAGTGCACAGTTATACTTGCACTGCAGATAGGCCCTAAGTTATCTCTCTTGAAAGGAGGGGGTAAGGTAGGAGCAGTGGAAATTTACCAGACGTAGAACAAAGGAGGCCAGGTGATGAGGAGGGGTTTAAAATAAAGAAACAGAGAGGAACAGGGGTCATATGGGAAAAGGAAACAGAGCAAGGTCAAAGAGCTGGGTAAGAGGCACCAGGAGGTAGAGGTCACATAGCATATAAAAACTGCATGGGGCCAGGAGTCTCTGCCTGCTTTCCTGAGTTCAGATGGCCCCAAGGACTCTGGATAACCCAAGGGATTCAGACTCCACCCAAAGAATGGCCTGGGGTAGTGAGGAAACTGAAGCAGGGACATGCATTTGTTTTGTACGATCTGTACTTTTCTGTGCTTTGTATGATTAAGTTAAAAAAAGAGTATAAAGGTGTTAGACTGTGCAAGGTGTGTGATCATAATTGCTGCATCCCCCGGAGAGAGTTAAACCATCACCTGAAGCTTCACCCCTTTTGAGTGGAGTTCTGGGTGCGTTTAAGTAACTGGGATGGCTTGAGGGTCAGTGCTGGTTCTGAGAACCTGGGGCAGGTAAGCTGAGCTGCCTCATTTCCAAGAAGAAGGCCCATTGCTTGAGAGTCAATGCCCAAGAAACGTGCCAGAGGGGCCAAGGGAGGAACCAGTGAGGCAGTCTGCTGAAGCTTAACCCACCCCAGGGATCCCCAGCAGCGGAAGGTTGGATTCCTCTGAGAGCAGTCCCAGTGCCTGGCCAGGAAGGGGCACTCGTTAAGTTCTGTAACATTAATGGAAGCAATTCATTAAATGTAAGTATCTGAGCTCTGCTAGTAATACATGCATAACAATGAGAGGTTACAACAACATTAGAGGTAAAGAGACAAATCACCATTTATCTTTGAGACAATGTAGTTAAATGCTATATCAGATATTCCTAAGGGAAAACAATTACAGTGCAAAGGTAAAGATTAATTTAAATATCATTAAAATATAATTAAGTGTTAATAAAAGCATATGTTCCATTTGAAATTGTTATTTAAGCTTCAGTTTCTTCCACAAAGGACACCACCCGCTCCCTTTTTTTATTGCCACAAAATGATTCATACTGCAGAAGTTTTCTAGGCTCCTGATCAAAAAGCTGCAATACTTTAGACATTTCGCTTTGGTCTTAGTGGAGCTTTAGAAATCAAGCACCAAAGAAACAGATTTCTATGAATCATTACTGCCGTAGCTCATACTTAAAAATATCAGGATTTCTGACCGGCGAGAGAGAGAGAATTTTGATCATATGCTGTCTTGAAACAATCTATGAAAGTTATACAAACTGGGCAAGCCTGACTCATGCTGTATGCCATATTGTAAATACAATACCTCAGTATAGTCAGTCAGTGACATATGGAATAAAACACAGCTCACTGCAAAGAGTGTATACAACTTGTAATGTGTAAGAGAGAGGAGTGTTCAGAATTTAACCTTTGATTGTATTCTGTTAAATGTTGCTTTTTTACAATAGTTACTTGCCTGTTGTGCATATCACTATTATTTGTAATGAAAAGTAACTTTATAGATGTAGTATTTGGTTATTCTTTGCCCTGACATAAGGTGATTCACAAATGACAAAAGGGGTATTTCCTTAGGGTCAGTTAGGTGGGTTGTCACATTTTAATGTTCACATAGTAAGATGAAGAGACTTCTATTCACGCTCTGTGTTCAAATCCTTCTCTGGTATGAAGACTCCATGCAGGTCCAGATGCAAGTCTACATTAACTGTGGCCCGAGCCATCTCTGTGAATGTTTTAGCATCCAAGACAAGCAGGAAAGGTGCTTTCCTGGGATCTGATGTCACAATGGAGGATAAAATAAGACCTAAAAAAGTATAAATAAGGAATGTATTTCAAAAACAGAGAGACAAACAGACTTGCTTTCCCAAATAGAAAAGGCAACATCATCCACTGATAAGTCTGGATAACCAAGGACAGCAATGAAAACTGCTTTGTGGATCAAAAAGTCTAACTAAGAATGCTAAAAAACTAATGAATGCCTCCATCCTGTTGCTGGTCTGCCTGGTGTATACCACAAAGAAAAGATGCTGAAGCAGTAGTCTCAATTAAGTATTTAACTGTGTGTCCACATCACAACTGGTAACATTGTTGGGCATCTCAGCTGTGAGGCTAGGGACTTGAATGGGTCCTAAAGACTGCACTCCTCACCCACCACTGCAGGTGGTTCCTCCAGAATAGCACTGGCAGGAGATGACGTGGGAGCTTGCAATACTGCTGTATCTGCTGGCCCTGGTCTGTAGTTAAATGGCTTCAGGACATTCAGTCTTACAGTTTTGAAGAATTCTTTGATGCCAACCTGATAAAAGATGGCTCCAGTGGGCTACATGAAAAATCCAATTATTTTTAAAGTCTAGCTTGGGAGCACACACGTGAGCTGAATTTGGCCCATTGTTCCTTTGCAGGAGTGGAAGGAGGCAGTCATATGCCCAACTTTGAAGAAGGGTGACACAATGAAATGTAAGAACTAGCATGTCATCTCCCTCCTCCTATAAAATCTTATTTTGGATACTCTTACATAGACTTATTGCTTCGATACAGGAAATAATAAGAGATTATCAGTGTGGATTCTGGAAAAATAGGTTAATTGTGGATCAAGTATTTTCAATTCATACACTACTCGAGAAAAAATAGGAATATGATCAAAATACATACATAGTTTTTATAGACTTTATAAGAAAGCATATGATAGTATATCACAAGATGGCCTCTGGGCCTCAGGGTTTTTTTCACTGACAAAATTATTAGGATGGTACAGCTGGTACTAGAATGATCCTCGAAATGGAAAACCTACCTTATGAGAGGAGACTCGAAGAGCTTGGCTGGTTTAGCCTAACCAAAAGAAGGCTGAGGGGAGATATGATTGCTCTCTATACATATATCAGAGGGATAAATACCAGGGAGGGAGAGGAGTTATTAAAATTAAGCACCAATGTGGATCCTAGAACAAATGGATATAAGTGGCCATCAACAAGTTTAGGCTTGAAATTAGGTGAAGATTTCTAACCATCAGAGGAGTGAAGTTCTGGAGCAGCCTCCCCAGGGGAGAAGTGGTGGGCAAAAAACCTAATTGGCTTCAGGACTGAGTTTGATAAGTTTATGGAGAGGATGGTATGACAGGACTGCCTACAATGGCATGAAGCCGATCTGCAACTGCTAACAGCAAATATCTCCAATGGCTGGTAATGGGACACTAGATGAGGAGGGCCCTGAGCTAATCATATCTTGGAAGGACAACCTTATGGTCTTTGACCTCATGGCTCACCAAGGAGAAGATGAAGGAATAATACTGAGAAAGATCTAAGAGCGCTTAATGTGAATTACCGTTAACAGAAAAAATTACCATCAATGGGGAAAATATGCCATTGAGAGAAAGAGGTTAGGGCAGATGGTGAAAGAAGTTAAGGATCTCCATCTCCATGGTCTACAGAGCTAGGGAGAAGTAGTAGCAGACATCTTTGTTTGCAGGACCACAATGGCTGAGGCTAATTTTACTTACCCCATCGCACTGTTGCTCAGTGGAATAGATTTCATATTAAAGGTCATTGACAATAAAACAGTTAAAATTTCTGATTCTTCATTGCAAGTCATCTTGACAGTGAAGGGCTCTGCATACTTATATATATATATTTTTATCCCCAATTTCTTACAAGAGCAGTCTGCTTACCATCATCCTCTTCTTTTAAATCAGGACTGGGAACAAAGATAGGCTCGGCTGGCCAGCAGTGCTCCTCCTCCCAGCTGAGCTTTTTCTTTGTCAGAACATCAACTTTTGCTATCTAAATTATTAAGACAAAAATAATTCTTCAGTCTCCATTCTAGCTCTTAATTTCAAAATCATGCTGTGTACCATACAACAGAGTGGCTGGGTAAAATGACAGGATCAGTACTGTAAGTCAGGAAGCAATGAGACATAATTACTCCAGCATGCCACAGACGAAATATTTGGAAAACTTTAGGCTCCTCAGTCATGTTTAGTGGCTGTATAGCCACAGAATCTTGTTTGTATTTAATTGGAGACAATTTCACTTTAGAGACTGGAGAGCAGAAATTGATACTGTTTTACTACATTACAACTATACCTGTCAACCAAGGATCTCAAAGCATTTCACAAAAATTAGTTAATTATTTAAGCCAGATGACATCTCTGTGTCAGGTGAGTCAATAATATTATCCCCCCATTTTACAGAACAGGAGCCTGACACACAAAGTTTAAGTGACCTGCGCAAGGTCGCACAGGACCCTTATAGCAAAGCAAGGAATAAAATTCAGAACCTCCTGATGCTTAGTCCTGTGGTTCATCATTTTCTTTTTGTGTGACCTCAGTCTTTACAGAAGTAAAAACCTTAAGTAGTTAAACAGGACAAATATTAAAACAAAATCAAAGAGACAAGGCGAGTGAGGTAATATCTTTTATTGGACCAATGTCTGTTGGTGAAAGAGACAAGTCTTTGAGTTTACACAGAGCAGAAGAACTCTGTCAGCTTGAAAGCTTGTCTCTTTCGTCACCCGAGGTTGGTCCAATGAAAGATATTACCTCACCCACCTTGTCTCTCTAATGTCCTGTGACCAACACAACTACAACCACACTGCAAAAAGCAAAATCAGTTCATTGTGATGGTTTAAGTAGCTAATAAACAAATGGGGCCAGGATTTCACCCATGTACTGTAAATATAGCAGTAAATATCTCCACATCTCAGCAATGGGCTAAGTGACTGAGCAACCCAACGCCCAGTATGACAGAGTTACTATTTCACATTCAGCTCCATTATCTTCTGTATGCATCTGCACTGCTAAAGGTAAATCACTGTTCCCATTCTGAACCCAAAATCTGAAGAGATACCTGATTTAGAACTTAAAGGTGTTTACATGAATTATAAGATACAAAACAATATCAGATGTCTTCATTGCACCTACTGCATATCACAGATGCCCAATGTAAAAAACAAACAAAAAACCCCACCTTTTAACAACTATGGTTTTATTTAAGTCATTTGTAAAGGAGGATTATCTTTGTTAGAAATCACAAACTTGCTGATTTGTTTGAGCTAGAGTCAGATACGCTGACAAACATTTTATTGCATCATCGACTATATAATATTACAGATCCAACTTTATTTTGTAATCAGCTGGGAAAATTAAAAACAGGAACAATTAGTGAACTCTATCTACTTGGCCTTATATTCTCTCAGTAGGTTTTAGGATAGATTTTGCTGAATGAGCGACAATTATCAAGAGCCAGCTTGTCTATATAACTTTCTCCTACCCTCAGTTAATAGGACTGTCCAGCTTATGATATCAGAGGGCTAGCCGTGTTAGTCTGGATCTGTAAAAATCAACAGAGAGTCCTGTGGCACCTTTAAGACTAACAGATGTATTGGAGCATAAGCTTTCGTGGGTGAATGCCCACTTCGTCGGATGCAACTTATAATGAACTTGTGTTCTAAGAAGTATCTCTTTAAAAACTGGTATCATGGAGGGGTGTGGGGCTGGGGCTCTTTCAGTCTAGGGCTGGTGCCCCAACACAAGTTAAAGCTTCCTGAAAACATCAGAGGGTCAGAGTGAAGGGTACGTTGTGATGAAATAGGCATCTCTGTATGTGGTAATAACAACAGTCCGTATTCTCAGCTGGTGTTAAGTGGACATAGCTCCATAATGAAACTACACTGATTTATAGCAGCTGAGAATCTGGCCCAATTGGTTTATTTTTGTCATGTGGCAATGTAGGACTTATGTCCTTATCTTTTAATCCTTTTGCTTTTAAGTGCCGGAGTTTGTAAATGTGATACGTAAACATATTGTTGTGACTTACTTGTTTAAGAAATGTGGATTTTTTTATTTTTGGAACATTCACATTACAGAGCAGAACCACAGGCTAGTAATGTTCCAATTCTGACCTCACAACCAGGCATTTTCGCTATGGTTGTATGGATGTAGGTCAGGGCATAATTTGGACCATGTAGGTTAGCTAGTGAAATAAACTGCCTTCACTATTTGCACACTGTTTAATTTGATTTGGGTTATACGAATACAGTCATGCAATATGCAATCAGTGTTCTATTATACCTTTGTGGGAACTGGACTCCACCGAACTTCTGTTGCATAGATATATCTGTATTTTTTGCCATTATAATCATAGTTGATGCGAGGCAGCTCTATTCCTACAGGTAAAGTGAAACGTACATACTGGTAACAAGGAAGGAAAATAGCACAACTGTACATCTAAGACATGTTAAAAAAAATGAAGCACATATAGTCAAGATCTTCAGAAAAGATCTTCAGTTAACTTCTGCAATATATATTCCTTGGCAGGGACTAAGTTAAATTTGCTTAGACTTTATGTACAGATATATGGATATATTTTTTTTTAAATGAAAGCTGAACAAGGTGATACAAATTCATAAACCACTGACATTTCACTTTCATGGTTTAGCCACAGCCTCAATCTCCCAATGTATTTATATTCTTACTGTTCAGTTACCTTTCATTTTTCCATAAATACATAGTAATATAGTGTGTTTACCTGTGAGGTGCAACTGGAGATCTCTTCCCCAAATTAAAAATAGATAAAGATATGCATATAGATAATCTTGCATATTTAGATCCCATGATCTCAGATCTGACCTGAAACCTTAATGTCATGATATTTTGAGCATTCGTAATCTACCTGGTCCTTGGACAGATATTCACATTAGATTTACATTAATTATTCATTTAGCCTGGATCTAGCAGTTAGGTCACTGAGGTGAAACCATGTGGCCATGCGGCACCTCACTGTTTACCTCCAGGACCTGACTGCTAGATCAGGGCTAGATTATTTAGGAATATTTAAGAGATATTAGCAGGGATGCTGTAACAATTTGTATAGTGGGAGTGCTGAAAGCCATTGAACCAAACCGTAATCCCTGTATATGATGGAAACCATTTCAAGCCAGGGGGTGCTGTCACACTTCCAGCACCCCCACTTTGAGCACCCCCGATATCATACTAGTCTCTGTTATTATAATGCACCTACATTTAAGAAAATACAATGGAAGATTTTTAATGAACACATCTCACCTTCACATAACATTTCAGGCTGACAATAGATGTTTCCATCTTTTTCTTTCAGAGCAGTTGCAGTAGTTGATGGAAGTTTGACTAAATTAGTACCTACTTCTGCACCCTTAAAAAAAAAAAGTAATATATGGAGATATACCTATCTCATAGAACAGGAAAAGACCTTGAAAGGTCATTGAGTCCAGTCCCCTGCCTTCACTAGCAGCACCAAGTACTGTCCCTTATAGGGTGGGTGGGTGGGTGTGGTTTTTTGGGTTTTTTTTTGCCCCAGATCCCTAATTGGCCCCCTCAAGGATTAAGCTCATGACCCTGGGTTTAGCAGGCCAATGCTCAAACCACTGAGCTATCCCTCCTTCCTGCGAGAGAGTAATGCTAAAAACAAGAAGACATTTTAAAGGACATATTTCTAATTTAGGACTTCCATCAAGGTTGATTTTACTGTATGTAAATTGCTATTAGGTTCCATTTGGCATAAGCCAGATGATCCAACTTCAAAAGGCTGCTTTCTCAGAGGCATTTCTCTTGCATTATTAGACTATGAGCATTTCCATTTAAAAGCCCTTAATTTGCAGGGGATTCTAATAAATCAGCTATAGGTCAAACTTGATAAAAATGTCAGCCAGATGGTATTTTTGCTTTATCACAGAAGCAGTGTAAATGTATCATGTTATTTGGGAGTTAGGGCTAAAGGCTGGGATTTTCACAGTCATTTAAGGGAGTGAGGCACCTACGTCAATAGGGCTTGGACTCTTATATCCCTTCAACTCCTTTGAAAAGCCCAGTGTATAAAAAAATAATGTAATGGCTTCTCATTTTAAGTGTGCGTGCACGTGCATGGGAAGGGTGTTATCTAGCTCACATATTATTCTCAACAGACAATGCTAAACAGACGCCATGTACATACATTGATGCCATTTGGTGCTTTTTAAAAAGCGTAACACTGATATTTACTTTAATGAAAATGCCCGAGTGTTCACATTAGTAGTTCAATGAGATTTTTCAGTATAGTGTCTTTCTGTACAACGTTGCTGAATTCTTAGACTGCAAGATAGGAAGGCAGGACAATTTGAGCGGATCCATCATAAGAATGCAAGAACAGCCATACTGGGTCAGAACGACAGTCCATCTAGCCCAGTATCCTGTCTTCTGACAGTGGCCACTGCCACATGCTTCAGAGAAAATTAACAGAACAGGGCAATTTGAAGTTATCCATCCCCGTCATGCTTCCTAGCTTCTGGCAGTGGGAGGTTAGGAACACCCGAAGCGTGGGGTTTCATCCTTGACCATCTTGGCTATTAGCCATTTTTCTTCTCCATGCACCAAATGTATCCTCCTGCATTGCTGCAGGACTGTTTTCATGGCATTAACAAGACCCAGTTTCCAGGGCGTAACAAGGCAGACAGTATCAGCCATTCCAAACTGAATCAGGCTGAAACTTGCCTGGCAAGTTGCTGAGCAGTAAATCAGATTTTCCTACAAAACAATGATGTAAAACATTTAAGCTGTTTCAAAGCTACAGAAAGGTTTGATCCTTTCCCCCACTTTAGTAAAGCTCTCATTGAAATAAAAATCCCATCATCTTCATAAAATTACTATTGAAAAGCAGCTAAGGGTTTTTTTTCAGGGAGGGGTTGGTGGGTAAGTTGCGGGGGTGGGGTGAGGGATGATTTTTCACAGGCTTCCATTAATGGGCATCAGATTGTACGTGCAAAAACCCATATTTGCACCTGCCAATCAAGGGCCATATTGATACATTTATTCATGTGGGGTAGCACCTTGCCCCACAAACAGTTCCATTGACTTTGAAGAGACTAGTCAAGTTGAACAGGACCTTTCTCCATGAACAAAGGAATCAGAAGCTGGCACCAAGTAACTGCCCATTGCTTGTGCAAATATAAATCGCCCTGTGCACACAAACAATTACATACCCCCCAAATTTTGTGGATATCATTTAAAAAAAATCAGGAATTTGGACGTGGCCTGGCAAACCAATGCTTCATACGCTTTTTCTTTTAGTGAGTTATTCAAAATTACTGCTCAAATACAATACATTAAATGTTACCTTGTCAAACCCCAGAGGAACCACAAATCGCTTACAGGCTGGTATGGCAGTGAGTTTGGTGTTTTTCTCCAATTCTTCATTCAGGTTTTTTAAATAGAACATTTGATATAGACTATTGTCCGGATAGGAAATTACATCAATAACAACATGGCCGTCCTCCTCATAAGCATTCACATGGTGAAAAAGGACCATGGCATCTGTATAAATCTTGGTGGATATATCCTTTTTGGTCTTTTTGTCTATGAGGTGAATCCAAGTCTGAAAGACGTCAAACACGCTAATGTTTAGTAAGCAGCAAATACTTTTTTTTTTTAAATGTTATTTCATTGCAAACCAGTGTTTCCAACTCGATGATGGCACATTTGCTTTGTTTATAATGTTGTATTTGGAGTATTTCGGTTGTGCCATTAAGAGGTGAGATTCTGGGTAAGAGGCACAGCACAGAGCATGCAAGCTGGAGGTGGGATGAGGCAGCAGCTTTCACCCCACCTTTACACCTTCCCAATTCATGGCTGCTCTGGGAGCTGAAGTGTCCCCCATAAAAATTTAGGACCCCTGGGAGGTGTCTAAATTACAGTCACCTGTCTCACCTGACCGGAATCTCCACAGTGCTACATGCAGAGGTCCAACATGCCCTCTCACACATGGTTCCAACTCTGGCATACCAGGGGCATCCTCAGAAGACAGCCTGCAGTTGCCTTCTTCTGTTTCTGCATTAGGAGAATTCTCCCTCAGGCGAATCCAGGGTTTTTAGAGTGCCTTTATGCCAATTTGGCCCTCTTGCCTCATGTAAAGGAGCCAGAATGGTGATTAGAATCTCACCTAAAGTCTTTACACTTATAGACCTAAGTGTGTATACTATTATATAGTATGTTGTTTAAACTAGAGGTGATTGTACATGGTTACTTGACATGACAGATGGAGCAGAATCTCTCTGCTGGTGTGGGATATTTCTAATAGTACCCAATATTATCCTTTTTCTCAGGTACCTCAACACCAGAGATTTACTTATGGGAATTTTAGGTGGGGTGAGATAGGATTCTTAAGGAAAGATCCTGCTATCTACTGAAAATATATATAGGAAGAGAGGGGGAAACACATTCCTCCAATGGGAAGTGACTGAAATTTTGCAGCAAGGGAAAATATAGTATAGAGTGGGAATGGTTATCGTCCTGGCTACCCTCACTGCTTGGCACATAGTAGGAAAGGTACCTTATCTTCTTTATGGAAAGAAAGGCAGGACGCCCAGTTGACACCTCTGAAGTAGGCAGTTGCCAACTTGAGAATGTCCAGTTTGAATGGCTGCTCTATGAAGATGATATAATTTTCTGTAACTCCAAAACTGTGATAGTAGCTTGGGTGAAGGAGAGACTGGGAAGGGATAGAGCACAACACTTCCAGGTGTTTGAGACAGGATTTCTTCTTTTCATTCTCTAAACATAAATTAGAAAGATAAACTGTGATTATGTAAATAATAGTTGCCACTCAGTGAGATTCCTTTACATTCTCCTCTTAGGGGCAAAGTTCCTTCCCTTCTCCAGGATTAGCAGGGGAATTGGCCCCCTAGCCGACAACCACACAGGTAAGACCAGGGCCATCCATGCAGAGGACCTGAGCCTTTGTAGTTACTCTCAGCCCCTGGGGAGTTTCTCACAGACCACTGCCCCTGAAGTTCCAGCATGGAGGGGGACAGAAGTTAAGTACTGTATGTACTGACAGCTGTACAGAAGGGACTGTATGGCCCCATGCTAGTGTAACCTCCTGGTGAACTTGCGCTTCTGGTCACCCTCTGTGCCACAGATTATGTGAGTCTATTACAACTCTACCTATAGTGCCTGGCTCTTAAATTGTAGCCGTTCATTCTTTTCCCTCTGGAGGTCCCAAGTTCAATCCTGGGGTGTTGCCCATAGAGTAACAGCTACGTTAGCAGCCGGGCCCTGCCCCATTGCTACGTTTAACAGAAATGCACAGAAAGTAGATCACCATGAAGAAGAAAAGGTGAGTGATTGTACAAGCTGCGACGCGAGTGCAAAGAAATCAATGAACAGCCTTTGCTTTGGTGAGGGCTAACATTGGCAAAACTGGTGAGGAATGGGACCTACATACAGTTTCATGTATTATGCCTGGCTCTAACCAAACACTGTCTGTCCCCACTTTTATAAGCATTTTCACCCACTGTCCTTTTCCCTGAAAATATATTTATAAAGAAAGACACATTTTACAAATTCAAACACCAAATACTACATGCTGGATACATTTTTTTTCTGTGCATCATCTCTTAACATATCTCACAACACAGAGAATGGCAAGCTAGGAGTAGGGACCAATCCTTCTGAAACAACAACATTCTTCTGTACTGAAATATGAACGGGAAAAAGTGATAGAGATGAACCTTTTCAAACACCAAATACCCAACCAGGCCGAGCAGCTAGTTCAGGAGTCCTGTCAGTCTTTTTCAAAATAACTTTAAGGAATGTACTTATAAATTTATACATACGTATGTACTTAAAAATGTATAAATATTATAATTTAAATGGAATGTAATTTACATGCAGTTTCTCACTACCTGACACCTTAACAGTGAAATGTCAAATGTCTTTGTACAAAGAAGTGATGTTAAAAAACAAACAGTGATTCAGTTGGTTTCTAGACCATTTGTGGCACAGCCCTCCACCTTCAGAAGAAAACAACAACAACAACAACAAACTAACAAGGAACTCAGAGACACTAGCACAAGCCATCTCTTACCTGGCACTGAGGAAGGAATCTTAAAAATAACATATTTTGTCTTCCCCTTATCAACGATAGAGGTGCCCATATTGAGAACATTTCCAGCGCTGTCATAATGGGGATGAGAAGTCGCCAGGCTCACCGCTACATATTTATTGTAGTCAACCTAACAAAGTGACAGCATAAGGATTTATAAAGAGTATGTGAAATTACTTAGCCTACATCACAAAAACTATCATCCCCTTTGGCACTAGCGGCATTCCCATTGGCAACCCCAGCACAAAGGCCAAAGACTCAGGCCCTGTTTCAGGAGAGCCTCCCAATTCAGGAAAACAACTTGCTTAACTTTTAAGTCTTTAAGTTAAAAACATTGAATTCAGTGGGACTTAAGCATGTGCTTAAATTATTATTATTTGGGGCTTGAATGGGTCACGGATGCTGAGCTTTTGATCCTGACGGTCACCTCTGGGATGAGGCACACGGGAAGAGGTTTGTGTAAGCAAAGGTAATTGCCATTGCCAATCCCTTACTGAATGGGCTTCACATAGCAAGGCCGTTAAACCAGCAGCTTTCATGATTTATTTAAAGTTGATAAACAGTATTACAGGAGGGGGTAGGGACCGGGAAGTTATACATAGTAGAAAAAGTTAACTAAAAACCATGTCTTAACGCATTTAGACTCACTTTTTTAGAAAATGAAAGAAATGTCTTGCATAAGGAAATTCAGATGGTATAAGGACGGAGAAAGTTGTGATATAACTGGCCTAGAGAATTAATTACACATTATATAAATTGTTGCATAATAGGGCGAGCTTGTAGGACCATTAATCAAAAGGAATAATCCAAATAATCAGAGGCCATAAGCACAAGACCTGACATTTATGCCTACAGCCAAGTAGGATTATGCACAAGTTAAAACTGCAAAAGCCAATACTTACCCTAAGACACCGGGTATTTTGTAGTTTGAAAGACATGAAGAATAAAATATTTTAAGTTAAAATAACTGACATTATAAGTTGGCATCTACAGCAACTACCCCAGTCTCCATGGCTCCCAAATGGCCTATTCTGACACAAGAAGCACAGGATAAAAAAAACATTTGATTTTTCTACATTTACTTATATCAAATTTGGCCGCCTTTAACCTGACACCCCGAGGCTGTAAAGGTCAGCATGACACCGTATTCATTAGCAGATAAAGCATCCATGTTGGATACCATGTTTTACCTTCTCTAATGTCTCCAGAGTGTGAGGATTAATTTTCCTAATGAAATTAGTCTCGCTTGTAGCATAATAATCCTCACCAGTTTTCATAATATTGATCAGGCAGTTGTCTGTGAACTCAGGAATGGTGTGGGACAAGTAGCAGAATGCCCTGCGGGGATGAAAATTTCATATGCATTCATTAATCTTTGAGAAGATCAGCTATTTTATAGTTGCTTTCAAATAGAACAGAAATGATCATGGCTCGGTTTGTTACTTGTTTTGTGTTATCCTCCCCTTGAGCCACGCGTAGAACTGAAAGTTGTGCCTGCTATTGGAGAGCAGGATGTGACCTGTAGGCAGCACAATCATTGGAAGTGGGTTTATTATTTAATTTGAACTATCTCTGCTGGCTGGTCCTACAGCAACACAATACAACATGTTTCGGGCCAAATTTTCAACCACTCTTAACCCAATCTGGAAGTGTGAACACACACAACTGCTGCTTTTGCATGCACAAACAGTTCATCTAATATCTGGCCAATCCTGTTCCTATTGGAGTCAATGGCAAAACAACCATTGACTTGTATGGGAGTAGACACTATCGTGTGTGTGTGTGCGCGCATGCTTTTGCATGCAGTTAGAGATCATATTTTGAAAGTCTGGCCCAGTAGGTCATAGAGATTGGTACCTTTTTCAATAGGCTTTGGTAAGAACGTGGTGGATTAATACGCCTTCTGACAATACATTTTTATTCCCAAGAATATTCCCTATCATATTACAACAGCGTTAAAATAAAGACTTTGGGCATAAACTGCTTCACAGTTTTCTGTAATACTTGCTTAAAGAAATCAAAAGATTTATTGGAAAACTGCAAGTAATAACTCCAGCACACACAGGCAGGACTTAACTTTGTAGTTGTTACTTGCAATGTGCCAATAAATCCTTTGATTTCTATAAGCGAGTATTAAAATTTTAAAACTGTATACAGAGACTGGGAATCAGATCCCTGGCATTGCCAATGGTGTGTCAATTTTAAACTTGCATACAAACAAACAGAGGGGCTTATTTTGTATGTGCAGAGGGAGAATAGAAAAGCAGTTGTGTTGGAGAAATAGAAAGCAGAACCTCATTGGAAAAACATTGCTTACTTGGCAAATAGGTTTTTGCATGGATCTGGATAAGCCATAGTTCCAAACTCTGACACCACAATTCTGTTTGCTTCTATATTGCAATTATATGTGTCACTGCGGAGGTATTTACTTCTGTAGTAAACTTCGCCTGACAAAGGGCAAACAAAATCTTTGTATTACATGCATACTGAGAAGATATTTATTTTCCTTAGAAAATTAATATAGAACACCTGTCAGATAAAGAAATTACAGTAGACCCTCATCCGGTTGGCCTCCAGTTAAGCAGACTATGGATTGTTTTCAACCCCTCATTTTTCAGAAGGTGTTTTGTGTCTCTGAAAAATTTCAGGGGAAAATGGGGCTGTGCTGTACTTTATTCCCATTGTTTATAGGCTGTCAACACTGATAGCCCAAATTTTGACTTACCCACTTTCCTTGGTTCACAAAACTTTTAGGCAATATTTTGTGTTGAGAAAAAGATTTTAAACTAAAAATGCCAGCACTCGAAAGCAACTCTATATTGACTTATCTACACGTACACATGAAGGAGCAGGAAGAATAAATTGTAAATTTCAAGTTCCTAAGGAATTGTTACAACAAACACTGAAGGAGTTCGAAAATTATGAAAAACAACATGACTTTTTCCTTTTTAAAAGTCCCACTTTACTAAATTTGACCATTTAAGCTTTTAAAGGCAGTTCCTTTAAACTCACAATGATGCTGTCACTAAAACGGCCCCCAAGAAGAATCTGTAATTTCTCGGATGATGATTACAGAGCAGGAAGAGTCCTATTAGGTCATCTAACCCACCCCTAGTCCAGAATAACCCTTTGTTACATTCATAAAAACCTCCTCTCTAGAGCTGGAATACTTGCAGGCAGCTCTTTATGGGCATTTTTATGATACTCATCACTAACATATTTGAACACTTGTCAAACAATGAATTACGCTTCACAGCACCCCTGTGAAGTAGGGAAGGATTATTATTCTCATTTTATAGGAACTGTAACTAGGAACTATCACAGAGAGGTGAAGTGACTTGCCAATCATCACAGAAAAAGTCTGAGGGAGAGTCACACATAGAACCCAGATCCCTGAACTCTTATATCTGTGTTTGAATCACCAGCCCATGGTTCCTCCATCAGGAGAACAGTATATATCTCCAGACATAATGGGGGAGGGGTGGCAGAAATCAATTTTCTTGGCAAATTTCAGTCTCCAGTGTTTGTAAAAAATCAGCACTCTTCTAGGTCTGAAGGAATGCCTGTATAGATTAAGTCATTTCAAGCATATAGGCTTGTGTGTCTGAACAAACACAGCTCCCTGTGGTTTAGGTGGTGCAATAACTGGCAGTTTCAATGTCTGGCCATTTCTGTTTATGGCTGCGTTCTTAAGAGGCACTGAACTGGGCAGGCAGACAAGAAACATGTTTCTGGAATCTCTCATCCCAAAACAGCAATGGAAAATAAAAAGCAAACGGGGGCAGGGAACCCAATTCTCCTACAAAGCTTGTATGTTATGCAGCCAATAAGCACAATGAAAAACAGCCCCCATTATGTTCTAAAGCAGATGAAATAATATTTCCATATTGTATGGTCAGGTTGAGATTAAAAAGAGATTGGTATGGACGGAGGAAATATTGCTTCTGATCATTTCCAGCACCTTGCCTGAGGGTGGCAAGTAGGATTTGGACAGTCATTTAAGTATTGTTTATATAAGTGCAGTAAATATACCTGAGACCTGACTTGCAAGCTAAGTGGCAAAGTGGCCTAGTTTCACTCTTGGCTGCTGTCATAACTAGGTTCAAATCCTAAGAAGGATGTTTTAGCCCATAATATAAATAGGCTGTTTGCCCATGTCAAATAAACCTCTGTGCATGATGGAACTATTAAATATATGGAGTTATACCTATCTCATAGAACTGGAAGGGACCCTGAAAGGTCATTGAGTCCAGCCCCCTGCCTTCACTAGCAGGACCAAATACTGATTTTTGCCCCAGATCCCTAAGGGCCCCCTCAAGGAGTGAGCTCACAACTCTGGGTTTAGCAGGCCAATGCTTAAACCACTGAGCTATCCCTCCCCCGACTATTAGCTGATTCAGTTTGGAATTGTGCAGGCAGGGCCAGCTCTACCATCTTTGCCACCCCAAGCAAAAAAAAAAAAAAGACCGCCCGAACTGCCGCTCGGACTGTGCCACCCCAAGAATGGACGGAATGCCTCCCCTTACCATGTGCCGCCTCAGGCACGTGCTTCCTCTGCTGGTGCCCGGAGCCGGCCCTGCGTGCACGTTACTGGGGCTCTGGATGGAAGCATAGTAGCAAAGTCTCTATACCTCCTGGATGCACCATGGCTATCTTCAGCTCTGGTGCAGGCAGAAGCTGCTATGCGCTTCCAAACAGCTGCAGAATGGAAATTGTAAATGGAAATGCAACTTCTATTGTGAGCTGTGTTTCTTAATCCTTTACTTTAATATCTACTCAAAACCATGGTATCTAGACCAGTCAACCAGAAATCCTGCCCTAGAGTGAAATCTTGATCCCACTGAAATCGGGGGGAGATTTGTCATTGGCTTCAGTGAAGCCAGGATTTCACCCCTGGTGTAAATATTCTGTGTTGCACAGCTCTATGCATAGTACCTACAGCACAAGCCTGTGAGCGCCTCGGACACCTCAGCGCCCATTGAAGTCAACCTCAGGAAGGGTTGAAAGACATGGCCCTTTAATGGGTGCTAACATCCTTGAGGAAAACATAACTGACTTAAATTTTTTGAAATATTTCCATTAGTTCCTATGAGACAGCTTTTTCTCTGCATTAGAGCAGATTTGTCTCATGCTACCAGCATAAATCTGACCTAAAGCCAATGTAGCTGACCCAGGGATTGCCACCGCAGTGTAAGGGGGATCATCTTGTGCCACTGAGCCACTACAGCATCGCCTAGCACCATAGGCGCCAACTCCGTGGGTGCTCTGGGACTGGAGCACCCACGGAGAAAAATTAGTGGGTGCTGAGCACCCACCGGCAACTCCCCGTGGCCCCGACCCCCTGCTCCAGCTCACCTCCGCCTCCTCCGTGAGCGCGCCACCACGTCCTGCTTCTCTCACCTCCCTCCAAGCGCTTGCGCCGCAAAACAGCTGTTTCGTGGCGCAGGGAGGGAGGGGCGGGGAAAGAGTGGAGTTGGGGCGTGGGGGGGCACGAGCACCCACCGGAGAAAGTTGGCGCCTATGCACCATTGGCACCCCTGTTCCCTGCAGCCAGAGAAGGGCTGTAGCTGGAAGAAAAGGGCATGGCTGGGCATTCCTGCTGTCCAGCAATCCTAAGGTTCTTGAATGGCTCTTTGGGGCCAATGGCAGCTGGTGCAAATTAGAGCAGCCTTTAGAAAGACTGATCCAGCACAGAAACCTCAGGATCAGGGGAACATGCAAGGCTGATTTGAAGCTACTTTTGCACATTCCCCTTCTGAGATGAGCACAGCATTTTCACCTCAGAGAAGGAAAGTTGCACTGAGAAGGGCAAGACCACCACCCATTCTCTCTTACCACCATTGGCAGCCGTGTCTGTAAGACTGCATTGACTGTCCTGCCCTTCATTTGATGTTCACTAGCTACACAGGACCTTGTTAGTCCCATGTTTTGTAGGACCCCTAACCAACTACAGGTCTAACAGGACCTTTAGCTAAGCATCTGAAACAATTCAATGTATAAGTATTGTAAGCAAACTCCACCCACAGTTATAAAACCTTATGCTTCTGTTTAGAGACCAAGACTTGTTTTGGATGCTCGTGCTTTAATGCAGCAACCTACCATTTTTAAATGTAAAACTGTGCACCAGAGCCAAGCCATCAAACCAGTGGTTATATTTGGTTTCCCCCACTGTATGCATGCCTGGGCCATTGCGAAGAAGAATCCCCTGCAGCCAGCTTGGTAGCTCACCTGTAAAGAAAAAGGATACAGCTCATTTCCACTCCAAGTCAAAGGTGACCTTGTGCACTAAAGGACAAATTTCCAAAGGTAAGCAGGTACATGGATGATGCAAGTCAGGATTTTACAATTATGTATTTGCTCATGCCATTTATGTATGCCAATGTGGCCCTAATTATATGCAAAACTGAAAACATGAAATTACCTGAACATAACTTACTAATTATAAGAGATTGATGAGGGAGGAGCATTTTCTTCCTGAACTTTCATTTTAAAATTATCCATCTAATCCCAATTTGCTATTACCAGCAAAAGCCAGGGCTTACCAGAAATAAATTATAGGAGTCATTTATAGATCAAATGCCTCTCAGTAGATGCCAATGTAAACTGAAGGCTGGTTGAATTCCAGTAACAATCCCACTAATAAAATTACACAGTGTAATGAAGTGTCATGATGGCAGTGCTTCAGAATACTAATAATGTCAATTCTGAGAGTATAAATAAAGATTATAAATATTGTATTGAGAATACATAAGTGCTGTCCAGGGTTGAATACAAGATATAGGGATTTGGTGATTTATGACACATGAGGAACAAGAAATCAGCTAAGTTACCACATGTTAGTCACAAAAAAATCTTTGCAACCTTAATAATGCTTTTTTAACAAAGTCAAGCACTTACAAGTTAGGAAATGCCAGAATTAAGCTTGCCTGTTTTTTCCTTTGTTGTATGCATGTGCTATTGTCTTTAATTACTTTATCACATTCTATTTTTTTCCACAAGACCCCTGCCTCGGTCAGTGCACAAAATAGATGGCACTCATTTAATGAGAAGCTCTTCAATATTGTGTCTTCCTCATTGTTCAATGGGAGACCCCACTACACACTGTTCAAACCCTGCTCTGAAGACAGAATTATTAATAGAGCTGATCAGAATACTTTCAACGAAATGTTTGTCAAAATATCTGGCTCCATCAAAGCTGAAACATTTTGCAGGGATGTACTGATTTTGACTAAGTTTTCGACAGGAAGATTTTTGAGGTCCAGGATGGTCTCGCTAGTCACTTCCACCGAGAAGCATTCCTGATCTTTTCTATCCAAAAAAATGGCTGATTGAATATCTGGTTTGTGAAAGTGGTTGAAAGGTTCTGGTTTTGTTCCAATGCAGAATGAAAACAAATTGTGAAACCTTGAAAGCTGTCTTGAAACTGAATGGTCATCCTCTAGTCAGCTCTAATTATTCATTGCCTCATAGGCTCTTTTGTGAAATGTATTGCTCTAGTATCTGACTGCTTCATAAACATCAATTAACGTATTTTCACAACACTCCTTTGAGATGAGGAGCTATTATTATCTCTATTTTACAGATGGGAAACTGAGGCACCGAAATTAAGGTCAAAACTATCCACCAATTTTGGGTGCCCAATTTAAGATACCTATGACCTGATTTTTCAGAGTACTTAGTATTATATAGCACTTTATGTTAAAAGCACAGCTCCCATTGACTTCAATTGCAGCTGAGAGTGCTCACCATTTCTGCAACTCAGATGCTCAAGACAGACACCCAGAAAATGAGGAACACACAGTTAGTGGACACTTGTGAAAAGTTTGGTTTAACTGACTTGTCCAGCATCACACAGGAATTCATTCAGCTGCCTTAACCAGGAGCCCATCCTTTCTCTTCCTGCAATCCCCTGCCTCCTTTGCCACACACCTTCCAACTTCTGCAACAAGTGAAGCACGGGTCCTACAGACAACCGTCTCCTTCACTGTACAGCCCTGCTCTGCCCCAGAACAGGTCCATCCTGTGTAACGAATGAGGCTGGGTCCTGTGGGAAAAATAATAAAAGGCCATGTAATTTGTGAGGGATATTGGTCCATGTGACTGAAGCCTGGTGTGTAAAAACTTTTCTTTTCTTTAGGTATAAACTTTAATTCTTTGTAGTTTAAGTAGGATTTGTTATTAACAGGCTCTAAGGCCACTCTGTCTCTCAGCCTTGATGCAAAGAGGAAGGTGACCCTTCACCTAATTAAGCCATGAACAACTGGTTCCCTAATTTTTTGCTGGTGCAAAGGGCAGTTGAAAAGGGACCTCTAGGAGTATTTTAAGAAAGGCTGAGTGGGAATATGAGTGGGTGAAAAGCAATGGCAATCACCACTAGGCCATAAGTCACATATAAGAATCTATCAAGGCCATGTGCACTCCCAACTGTTACCCCCACCAGGGGAGCAGAGGGGACTGAGATACTTCCATGAAGCAATCTCCTGCTTATCACATTTTTGGAGTCGCCTACGCTTGTGGTCTAGTCTAACGCCGGTTATTAGAAGAGAACTTCCAGTGAAAGGAGGGACTTTCCAAACTGACCAAGAGCCAAGCTTGCCCATCCGTGACTGGGAGAGGAACATTTTTTCTGGGTTATTAGATTTGTGGTCCCCTGATTTGCTCCAGGGAGGTGCCATAAGGTTGAACAAGCTAAAAATCACCACCATAAGGATCCAGGTAGATGTGGACAATGGCATGTTCCTCCTAGTCCACCACAATGACAGCAAGGGCTGACACCTTTGCTTTCTTTAGGCTAGCTCTAAGGAAGAGGAGACCAAGACCACCACTGGCTATGCCAGCCTGACCAGAGGAAGCCCACCAGTCAGCATGAGGTGCCAACCAGAGATATCATCTGTTCCCCTGACCTGCAGTTCTGCGCTGATGCTCTGAAGGCCACGCAAGCTGAAGAGCAAAGCTTTTTCTTTTATTAAGTAACTTTCTTCTCTTTTTCCCTGTCACCCTATTTTGTTATTGCATGGAGATGCCTGCCAATATTACTGATTTTACTCTAACCCTTTTAAAGCGTGTGTGTGTGTGTGTGTGTGTGTATACACTGTGCACATGTAAGCAAAAGCGTAACTAACAGTACATGCCATTAATCATTTCCCATGTGCTAAGTGGTTTCCCTTAAACCATTTTGTTAGCTGGTTTGTATTTGTATGCACCACTCTGCACTAAGAGGGGAATGGAGAGTTGCAGATCTTTGATGTATCAAAAAGTGGGGAAATTAGCCTGGAACTGAGCAAAAAGAGGATCCACATGGCCTGAGCTAGGGTTTAAATTAATGAAAGGGGAGGTGAGGGACCAGCCAGTTCCCTTCATCCTAAATTAGCCCATAAGTGCTTACAGACTCTAAAGGGGAGGGGCATATGTTCTCCTCCCCCGTTCAGCTGGGGCCAGCCCCATTGCCGCTGGTGGCACTTCAAGGACTGAGAAGGAAACAACACTTCCTTAAGCATTTAGTATTTGAAAGAATTGACTTGTTGTCTTAATTTCATGATTTGATTACTGGCTGTGTTCACCTGCTGATATAATCAGTCCGTGATTCCATTCCACATCATTGTAAGGTGCTTCATTCCAACTGTGATCTTGATGTGATCATTTGTATTGTATGGTCTCACTTAGTTTAGTAAAAGTTTAAGTCAGGGGTTGGCAACCTTTCAGAAGTGGTGTGCCGAGTCTTCATTTATTCACTCTAATTTAAGGTTTTGCATGCCAGTAATACATTTTAACGTTTTTAGAAGGTCTCTTTCTATAAGTCTGTAATATATAAAACTATTGTTGTATGTAAAGTAAATAAGGTTTTTAAAATGTTTAAGAAGCTTTATTTAAAATTAAATTAAAATGCAGAGCCCCCCAGATCAGTGGCCAGGACCCGGGCAGTGTGAGTGCCACTGAAAATCAGCTCGCGTGCCGCCTTTGGCACGTGTGCCATAGGTTGCCTACCTCTGGTTTAAGTAATTGCCCATAGTGAGAAGTTAATTGACTTTAAGTTTGCTTGTTTATTAATTTGAAGAAGGGGTGTGTGTGTTTTCCTCCCCTTCAAAGTTGCAACAAGGGCCAAACAACCTGAAGGGCAAAAGTAATTTAGTGGAGTATTTGAGGGCCATTTGGCTCTGTTTCCAAATAAATATCTATCTTCCTCACAAATTAAAGACTGCATCATAATGCATATTCATAAAGGGTCCAAATTAAGGTTGTAAACAAACCAAAAGTAAAGCTATTCCATCATGTGACATCATTTTGACACCCTCACGGTCATCATGAGGGATGGAACCTTTAGAGCCACCACTCACACCTCGGTCACTTCAAAAGTCATTGATAGTACAAGTAGGTTGTTATCCTCTGTGGACCAGCACTAGAGGGGGCTGAGACAAACACTTTCACAATGTGTTTCACAGATATTTTCTAACAGCAGAGGAATGGTGAGACTCAGGAGTTATGAGTTCCATTCCAAGCTCTGGAGGAGAATGTTATCTAATAGGCACAGACCTCTGCCTGTTCTCTTTCTGCCACACCCGTTCCAGCCTATCTTTGTCTCCAGTCCTGTCTCTTCCGCACATCTGGATCATCATCCCTGTCCCATTCTCCTTGCCTACCCACTTCCAGTCAGCACTCCTCAGGCTTCTTGTTTCAGTTTCAGTTCCAGTTTCTTTGCCCAGCAAGTCTTAGTGTCACCCCTCTGGAATCCCTGTCCCAGCCTTCCCCCCACTCCAGCTCTCAGTCCCAGTCTCTTTAACCAGACATTCCCAGTCCCCATCCCAGTCCTGGCTCCTCAAGTAATCTTTCTCTCTTCCCTACCTGGGCCTCCAGTCACACCCCTCCCCACATTCTCCATCCCCACTTGCTCCCATTCATCCTCCCGGGATCTTTGTCCAATGTCAATGTAACCCCCCTAACTCCTTGTCCCAATCTCTTTGCCTAGCCAGTCCCAGTTCTCCTTTGCCCCAGCTCCTTGTGTGATCTGTTTTCCTTTCCCTCTGACCTCTTTCCTCCTGCCCTACTCATTCTCAGTTCCCATCTCTGTGCCAGCCAGTCCTGGTCTCCCCCTGGCTCATCTGATTTCACTCTCCCTGCACTTATTGACTCTCAGCCCCCTCCCCCTGATTCCCAGTCCCTCTCTCCTTCCCCCACCCGTTCAAGTCCCTCATGGTCTCCATCCCAGTCTCTGCCTCAGTTCCAATCTCCTT